GGGATTTGATATCCTGGCTATTTATTATATTGTATGTAGTGCTGCATTGGCATTTGAATGTTGAGTGGTCTTTCTTGTTTTAATATTCATGCATGTATATTTATCATGTTTTACAAAGTCCCTGATGAAAAAAATATCCCTGGATGGTATTTATAGTTGCATTTAATGAAAATACTTATATTTTTAGATGTTGTTAAAGATTTCAGTATTATGTAGAAAAAATCGATTTTTTTAAAAGTTCATAATATCCAAAGAAAGAATTCTTTTCCTTATTAAAAAGATAAAGAAATGATTCCCTGCCCCAAAGTCTCATTCTCTTTCCAATAAATTTTACCAATTCAAAGTAGTAACTTGTGAAAAAGAAAAAATAACATAGAGATTGTTTCAGTTCCAGTATTAAAATTAAGGCTCACTACCTATGATGCTTTATGCTATTATTTACTAAATGAAGGCTTCAGTAGAGAAACCTGAAAACTTCTTTTCATGTCCTTTTTATGAAGTAAATGTAATTTTATTGAAAATAAGCATCTTTCCTGAAAGAGGAAGATTGTTGTGTCTATTAATAACCAATGCTTCTATTAGCTAGGAAACTTTCCTGTATGAAAAGCAAGCAAGCAAACAAATGAAAACAGAACCTGCTGCTAACTCCAGTTCCCCTTTCTTGTATGCTATGTACCAGCACCTCCTGGTTCCTAAGATGTTTCTGTTGGTTCTTCTTGTCCTTCTTATCCAGTCACGAAAGCCACCCTTGAGATACTTGTCTACTGGTCTTACTGGCTGACAGTCAGGCATTAGGCCACGGTCTTCCTTGTCTCTGTAGGTATAGTACCAAGGTAATCCTAGTAACCCAGTTCTGAAGCCTAGGGGCGTAGGCAGTCTAGGCTATTTTGTCTGGATATGTGAGTGCTGTCTAAATTGCAAGTAGCAGAAAACTCTACCCAGATTGATTTAAAGATGAAAGCAAATGTATTGATTGGCTAAGTCATTGCAAAGTTAAAAACTGTAACTGGATCAGGTGAAGTTTGATCCATAAACTCCTACCATGTCCTTAGACCAAAGTCAAAGTCAAAGGCTGTTAACGGTAAAGATACCTGACTGTGGAGGAACACAACATTATGTGCCCTAGTGTGAACAGGGGAGATTATCAAGAGGGGTGATAGTGTCTGGCATCACATAGAAGTCACAGCTGGATGAGCAACCTCAAAGCACCATGGATTATACACATAGGTCAAAGTTGATTTGTTTAAATGCCCTTTATTGTATAAGAAAAGGAAGGGAGTTGCTCTAGTGTATTGCTTTCTCGTTTAGAATTCAACTTGCTTGAGGTGTGGTTTAATTTGTAGATCATAAGGGCCTAAGTTCATGAAATAATAAATAAACAATTCCATTTATCTGAAAATTTTAAACTACATAGTAGAGACCATGGTAGAGAAACTGGTGCACCACCAAGTATAACTAAGCAAAATATTAAGTGGCATTATGTGTAATTGGCTAAGTTCTCTGATAGCAGCATTTTACATAATATTAATAACAACTTAGTTGCTTGAAATATAAACAGCTGCACTATTTCCTTACTCTTAATGGCATGTTTTCAGGGACTCTGATAGCTAAGATGGGATAGAATAAGAAAGAATTTTTCATCATGTATGCTTAGCTTTCATCATGTATGTAACCTCATATGATTGGCAACCTTCAAATTATACACAGTGAATATTGAAATACATTTGAATATTCTGAAGTACTGTCAGTACTGTTTTCCCTTAGTTTAAAATGTGGAAGTAGAAAAGCTTCTTGTCAAATGTTGCTCTCTTGGCCACTGGTGAGTTGTGTGGATCCTTTCTGCATCACCTCTCAAAGGCTATCAGAGATTGAGACATTAATCCAACCACTTGGAGCCAGTTAGTTATACTATTATGAGTTACACTTGGTGGATGTGAGGGAAGGAGCAATCAGATCCTTTCTTCAGGAACCAGTCATACACACCAAGAAAAGTCCTTCCTAAGGAAAGTTGGCTAAGGAGCTTTGAGTCTTCCTTTTCTTTCCAGTTGTACTATAGACCAGGTGCGATGCATTATTTCTTGGAGGAGGTCAGCCTGTGGCAAGCATGAAAGGGGATTATAATGGCCACCAGGGAGGGACTCACTTCCTATGAAAGAAAGCAGAGCCCTAGCAAACACTATGAGCCGAGCAATGGTCTCAGGAAATTATATGTACATATTTAATCTCACAACAACCCCACCATAGTGGCCCTCATTTCATGAATGAGAGAACTAGACACAGTAACTGTAAACTCAATAAATAATCAGCTGAGATGACTCAGAATGGACCCAGTATGCAAATTGTCAGTAGACTGCTTTGACAGTACACAAGAGCTCAGAGAATTTGCTAATAAAAACTAGAGAACGTGTCTTCACATGTGGTTATATAAACTTGGTTAAGGAGCCGGGAGTGATGGGACAAACAAGAACAGAGATTTGCCATGAAATATAATTAAAATATGCTGCTTCTTGATTTCTAAGTTCTAAGTGATTTAAGCTGACTTGTAGTTTAGATTCCCAATGGACCTGAGGTTGGATTTGGGTTTAACGTGTTTTTTTTTTTTTTTCTCCAAAAGGAAATGACTCTGGGTAAAGATCATCATAATTTAGTTAGACATAAAATAAATACTTACATCCTTTTTATTATTGTGCTTACAGCCAGTTATTACATAAGGTATTTTCAATAGATGGATAAAAATTTACCATTTGTAATGGTTTATATTCACATTCAAAGAAAAACCACCAGAGGTTTGCCCGAGACTAAAATCTTTTGAAACAAATTTGCTGTAGAAAAAGCAAGCTTTCTCCATGTGGGGGCAAAGAGAAAAAGACATTAAAAAATGTAGACCAAGTCAACACAAGCAAGTTTCATATGTGACTTATTAACCGGCAGAGTAAGTGGGTAGGTATGGGGGATAAAGGTCTGCCTGTTCTCTGTCAAATGGCCATTCTGAGCCCTCAGGGTGGCTCACCTCTCCAAGAATTCAAGAAGTCTTCTTATGTACATTTTAGTAATAACCTAGCTCTCATAGTTTATAGCCACCACCGCCACCACCCCTAGCCTCCAAAAAGGAAACTCACTGTCCCTAGGCTATTTGATAAGACAATTTGGTTTTTTTCAGTGGTACTAAGTAGGGTTTGAACTTGGGGTCTTTCATTCTTACCACTGGAGCCCTCATCTGCTTTAGTTTAGGGTAGACTCTTGTGTTTCCCCCCCCCCCATTTTCCCAGGCTGGTCTCACATTGGGATCCTCCTACCTCTGCTTCTAGAATAACACTAGAGCCACTACACCTAGTCTGATCTTTAAAAACTCAGACCCTATGTCAATCCCCTGTCTCTACCTCTCAAATAGGTGAGGATTACAAGTGTGAACCCCCTTTCCCAGCATTAATTGCACATTTAACATTGCTGAACATACTGGCACAGGCCAATTAATCCCAGTGGCTCAGGAGACAGAGGCTGGACTGTGATTTTAAGTTAGTGAGACCCTGCTATATAGTTTTCAGAGCTGACACTGAAGGTGATTCAAAAGGATGTCAGTATAAGCATCTATAAATGATAAAATTTTTAAAAACTGACATGAGATCTGGGATGAGAGAACTTCTCAGGCTCACATTATTGCCATTAGTAAAGACCTGAGACCTTAGGGTCAGCCATATACCCTTCTGTGCTTGGAAGATACAACAGAAATAGCATTTCTGTTTAATGGATGACTCCCACATTGATCATTTGGTGGACCTGGGCAGGGATTCTCCAGTCCCAGGATGGAGTTGGTTCATCCCAACACACCATAGCCACCATAGCAGCAGCAGTACTGTTTGAATGCACACTGCCATCATGGACAACGAAGCCCAGATGTATGCACTTCAAATGGATTTACCAGCTTCGGCAATGTTTTGATTACAGAAAGAAAAAATAATGTTTCCAAATTCCTATTGAACATGTTTCTCCTGATGATGAGCAGGATCCTTCTAAGCAAGAGGCAAGCACTGTGTGAGGGTAGAACTGAGCTCCGGCATCGCTCCTACCCTGCCGGCTCTGCAGCACTGGGTGGAGAGTTGGGTTTTAGTAGTAAGAACCTAGGTCTGTGCTCTTCTGGGGAGCTCTTTGTATTTCCTCAAAAGCTAGGTCAGCAAGGGGAATTCTCACGTGACCGTGACCATCGGAAATGCTGACTCCCTGGGGAGACAAAAAAAACAAACTTTACATCTGTGTATGAAGGGGCTTTTGGTGTCTGCATGTCCTGAATGAAAAGGTGGATAGCATGGGCAAGTCAGAGGTCAAGGGCAGCAGCCTCAGGTGACAGCACCATCGTCTCCCAAGATCTTACTGCCCAACCCATGGAATGGTTGCCGTCTGATCTGGAGTCTTAAGGGATTGCAATCAGGAACAAGTGATAAGGAGGGAAGCAAGACCTGCTTAATTGAGGGAGTTTAACTATCAACCATCAAAACCAAGTGCGTGGCAGAAAAGTCATCCTGCCAAGATACAAGAAAAGAATCCTTCTTAGAAATGCTTTAGAAGAGGAAATCTCCTGGGCATGGTGGTACACACCTGAAGTCCCTGTTAGTATGCAGAAGTAGGAAGTTAGTTCAGTAACAACAACAAAAGATGGGAGAATTGTGTGAGAGATGTGGCTCAAGTGACAGCACAGCTGCCCAGCAAGCCAAGAGCCTGGAATTCAATCCCATCACAGAAGGTTCAACCAGTTCCTTTACTCTACAGCTGTTTGTAGGTAATCTTGCTAAGAGGCTAAGATAATTGAACGGTAGGTACCAAATTTTACCTGATCAACAAGCAAGTTTTCTCTTTCATATTCTACCCGTTTTAGCCTCTCTCACAGCACATTTCTCATCTTTAAAAAGGAATGAGGAGTAGGGATAAACCAAATAGAATGAAATTAAAACAGTTTTGGGTCAATTTGTGTAAACATTTGAAGTATAAAGTAAAATACAGGCAAAGGGATTTAACTTCCATTTAATGCATTCACTTACACATAAACACAGCATAAAAAATTGTTACGTTGCACTTTAAACAAATTGAAATCAGAAATACTAAGTCTGGATCAATTTTGCTTTAATTTCTCAAATATCATTTATTTTGTTTCATTTTGCAGTCAGAACATTTATATAACACACTTGCTTTAGGACAGCATCTGTAATTACAAACAAAAATGTGCATTCACAAGCCCTTAAAACACCACTTAAAACTAAATGTCAATGTCAAAGTTCTAACTTTAATAGTGAAACTTCTCAAACATTCAATGAGAATGATTTCACTTCTACGGCTGACTTTACGAAGATCTGAAAATAAAATATAGTAAAATTATTGCTTCTAGAGTTAAGTTGGCACAATCTGTACAAGACAGAATTCATATGAAAACAAGCTGTACCAAAGTAGTTACATAACCAATCTTTATCCCTAGTTTTCTGACATTTTATTCACCTGTAAAAGCTGAGTTTTAGTCTTTAAAACCAAAAGGATGGCCTTCAATGAAGATACTCAGATTTTATACATGTCGAGATATATACAGAGGATACTACTGTGTTTAACCACAGGAATGAATTTTTTTTTCACGTTAAGCAGTAAAATGTTTTTTGTAAAAAAAAAAAAAAGATCCTTAGTGTGAAGTTCCGTAGGAATATTACTTTCCTAGTAATAAAAAAATTCAAAATGTAAAACCAAGAGTATTTTCAATACTAAAAAAAAAAGCAACATTTATTTTACAATCCCTAGAACTGTAAAACAGGTATTTTGTGAGTTTACAGAATCAAGGGAAGTATTCTGAATGTCAAAATATACACAGTGAATGTGATTTAGTGTATAAGCACCAAAAATCTGAGGAGTTTACAAAAATGGGTGAAACATAGGTGGTGAATTTACTTATGAATTACATTCACTCAGAGGGAAGAAACAGTCCCCAACGTTCTTTAGTATTTAAGAAAGAGCTGAATAATTTCCAACTTACAGCCAAATAATGAACATTGCTTTTCATTTTTATTATACATACAAACCATCTAAAACGTAGGTTCAGAATTTAAGCACTGCCTTCTTCTGGAAAAGGTAGTTTAATCAGGTTGATCAGTCTATACTCTGGGATACTTCATAGACAAGAGCTGTGTAATACTCACACACAACAGGATGATTTAATGCCCCAAAGAAATTTATAAAGAAGTGGAAATGTAGTCTTGTAGTAAACTTGTAACAGGAAAAGTTAGATCTCCTTTTTTTTTTTAATATATATAGAATTAAGCATACAGCCATTTGGGAACAAATACAATTACTTTTTAAATATGACTCTACTTGAATTTTCTAAACATGACACTATCGCTTCAGTTAATAATAACAATTACATAGTCAGATGACATAAATACAGAATTTGTTGGTTGACAAATTAAAATTAATATGACACTAGAGAATGTCCCTGTTCAAACAACCTGGCCAGTGCTGGTAACAATGACATAAGGGAAATGAGCTTGTGGGGCTGAACATACATTCACTGCCTTCATTCTCCTGAATGGCCTCCTAGGGTTGAGGAGGGGATATGGTCTGGCTCCCGTGTTGCCATGTTGCAACATATCCCACCTGAAGCCTTGCTCTGTAAAGCTTATATGAAGCTACCATCACTGCTAACACAAAGTCCAGGGCTACCATCCTGAATGCCATCACCTTTATATATTGACTTTGACTGTGTGCATTAAAAAAAAAAATTGGTTGTGCTTCTCACAAATCTGATATAAGTCTTCATATCAAACATTTTATTTCTTGGTTCTTAAGAAAGAAAAATAAAAGAAAGACATCAGAAGTCAGATTGTAAGGTTGGTAAGGTAACAGTACATATACTACTAGTCAAATATCTTTAACTTAAAAGATATTATCATCACAAAACAGATATTTATATATATATTTATACAGACACATACACGCATGTGTGTATCTATATCTCCTCCCTAAAAGCCTATTGTTCCATGATAAGTTTTTCACAGCTATTAGTACATATATATATGCATACCTATGTATATATATATGTAGACACATAATTTTGACAATCTGCTCAGTAATCCACTGAGTGTATTATTACCATAACAATCTAAACATTGTACTTCTAGGGAAATGTGCTTAAAAATGGTTCAGTGATTTGTTCCAGATGAGGACTATTTACAAAGATAACTTTTTATGTCAGCAATAAATAATCCCAATATCAACAGAGACAATGCTCATGCACACACCAAGATGGCTGCATGCTATTAAAATATGTACATGTAGTTTCTTCTTTACAGCTCTCCCATTAACAGTGAAAGTGCATTTCTGTCAGTTTTCTCCAGTCTTCAGTCCTGCTTCTGCGGGATGCATCCTTCCATTTCTACAACTTCAGGCCACCCTTCATATTTATTTGTATCCTTGTTATTCTTAATATGCTATCGGAATACAATAACAGTGTATAGTTAAAAAAAAAAAACACCAACAACTTTCCAAGTTGCTCATTTGCCATAACATGACTCACTCTCACTTCAGTAACATTCATGTCAACAATGAGGTCATATAAATTATCGCTCAAGAAATCAAATGAGTGACGCTGGAGGCCTGGCACCTATGTGACAAACTTGCAAAAAAACAGGTGAGAAACAAAGCCCTGTAGATATTTTTAAATGCTTATTTATTAGTCAGAAAGTCAAGTTTATATTCTGTGAAGGCTGCAAGTATTTTCAAATGGATTCTAAAATCCAAAGCTTAACTGAAATCCTTAATAACCAGTATGTTCCCTTCAAGTCTTAAAAGGAACCCTATCTCAACACACTGGGGGGCGTGGGGACAAATGTGTAATTTAATTTTAAATTGTGAAGTTTGAGAAGTGTTCTGGTACTTTCAAATAAATGACTACCAAGCACTGATGAAAAGTAAATGAATATATTCAATATCTGCCTAACTTAATTTTCAAATAACCAGTGTGGGCGTATGTCCCACAGTTTCACACATTATTTTTGTCCGTGAGTTATCAAAGTGCTTCAGGACACTCACCTGTTCGAAAGGGCTTTTTGTTTTAATGCCCTTCCCACCACAGAAGACCCAGTTGTCCCTAAAACCAAGGTTAGTAATCGATGTGCTCCCCAGTTCTGCAATTAGCTTTCGTGCCTCTTCATTGAGTCTTAAAACAATAAAGAAAGAACAGAACAATGATTAGAGGGTACTTTATGTAATTTAGCTAACACTGATTCATTCATCTAGGATATTCAGATCAACAGCAAAATGGGATCTCACTAGCTTACATAAGAGAATATAAACTAACCAAGAGAATTTTCCTATTTGAATTCTTTAGAGATGAACGACACAAAGTACAGCAACTAATTTTAAAGTTATTCAATTAGGAAGTATTTTCTAGATGTGTCTTTTACCTTCATTTAACTATTTTCCTTATATTTAATCAAATAATTAAGGAGTGGTACTGTTTTCATAGATGTCTACCTGGGCTACACCAAGGTCTTCAGTAACCAAGACCTTTGTAAAACCATTCATTTGAATCTCCATTAAGTCCTTTGTACGATTTACTTACATGTGGGTAAACTAAAAGTAAATGAAGGGGCTGGGAATGTGGATTAGTAGAGTGTTTGCCTAGGATGCCTGAGACCCTGCGTTTGATTCCTTAGTACCACATAAACAAGAAATAATATTTTAAAAAAAGGAAATGAGGATAGAAATATGGATATTTCTAGCACAATGTTTTAATACAAAACAATTTTTGAGAGTAGAGATATAACATTGTACTTTAGTTATTTGAAAAATGAAAATATAAATTACAACTGTGTACACTAAGGAGGAGTGTGGTGACTCCATCAGCACAGGAAATTGCCACCGCACTGATACCATCCAGAATTGTGTGTGGATTATCATTCTAACCATTGAGGGATTCCCTTCCCCCTCCTTTCTCTCAGAGGGGAAAGGAAACTCGATAGGAATGCTAACTGTAGAGCTACAAAAATAACAGAGATAGCAAAAGTAGGATCACCTGGACAGGTTATTGATATGCACTGCTATAGTACATCCCTCAAACAGCAGTTCCTCTGAACACAGGCTTGTTCTGCTAAGGGAGTATTATGTTCGCAAAGAGCAGAAAAGTTAGTAAAGTAGGTATGGATTTATGCTTCTGTTCTGTTAACAATCCAAGCTAGTATCTCTCAACTTCTTCAGTACCTTAATCAAAGAAATACTGGGTATAGTCTCTAAAGACAAATGGCATGCTTTATTTATTTGCATTTTTTAAACAATTCCAGTAATGAGGGGACTTGCTGATAGGATGTGCAAGGCAAGTGTTGGTTATTTTAGAAAAATGCACAGTGGACTGAACTGGGCCACTAGTGGTTCGCACTTGTAATCCTTGCTACTCAGGAGGCTGAGATATGAGGATGAAGGTTTGAAGCAAACCCTGGCAGATAAGTTCATGAAACTCTTATCTCCAATTAAGCAGCAAAAAGCCAGAAACGGAGCTGTGGATCAAATGGCAGAGTGCCAGCTTTGAGTGAAAAAGCTAAGCAAATGTACAAGATCTTGAGTCCAAACGCCCGTGTTGGCATCAAACAAAGGGGGAGGGGGAGGAGAGTAATGAGGAACCAAAGACATGAAAAGTCAAATATTTCCAGTTTCTAAGACAAAGAAGATTTTAGCAATAATGGTCCAATAAAACCAATCTTAATTCCTACCCACAGTCTAGAACAGAAGACAAGGAAGATTGTGCAGAGACCCTACAGATCCTGAAAGCACAGAAGTGCAAAGAGGAAGGAAGGGGTACCATGGGAGAGGAGGCAAGAGCAGTCCGTGAATGGCATCTCAGCTGTCTGCGGCAGCGCGGGGCGCCTCCACTGGTGTCCTCTGTGGATTGTACGTGGGCAACTGAGAAGCTCAGAGAGTAGCTGCTGTGCATAAAATAATTAAATGGCAGATGGATGGCACCCCCTTGGCCCTGTTCGGTCAGTCATTTCTGCAGGTAATTACTAGATGAATCTCTTGTATGAGGTTGACTCTAGCAGGGTGGCCCGATGCCCTTGGTAAATGTTTTCATCGAGGACTTCTATTTAGACATGGGGAAACTTTGGAGGGAGTACAAAGACAGACTCTCGAAACCTCCGAGGACAAACATGAGATCCAAGACCAACCAGGTCCACATCCGCAAAGTTGAATTTAACACGAATAAACGAATACAAATTCCTTCATCGAAATTAAACAAAAACTCAAGTTCTAAATGGAGAGAAAGACCTGGCTTGGCATTTTTTTTTTAAGAAAAAGTCTGAGATCAAATGAAAAGATCTAAAAAATCTAACTTGACCAAAAACTCACATGAGCCAAAAATGTGATGTGATTGTTTAAAGAAAACTAATGCTAAGCTACATGAATATTCAAGGAAATGTAATCTCTAAAACATGGCAAGTTATGGTCTCTCCATTGGACCATGTACTGGCCAGGCCACATCTGGAACACTGTGTTTAATTTGCGACATTCACTTTAACAGAGACAATAATCAACTAAAGAATGCCTAAGAAATATAGCCAGGAGGGTAAAACAAACTAGAAACATAATATGATAAACGATGAAAAGAGCCTAGAAAAGAGAAAACTAAAAGAGACACGTCAATTACCTTCAAATACTTGCTGTATCAAGTGACTAGGGGAACATTTTTATTGTTTGGTTAATGACTATTGGGAAGAATTCAGAGCCAGCCCACCCTGAGAACAGAAAGTTTATGGATCTTTTTTTTTTTTTTTTGCCTCTTGTTGGTTTCAGATAGAGAGGCAAGGCAGCAAGGGGCCTGGCACCTTTAGTAAGTGAGGGGTCCTAGAGATATAATTAGAGAGGCATTCCAAACAAGACTGAACAGGTGGATCAGCAGGAGTCAGGTAGCCTGGAAGGTCTTTGCTAGTCAAAAGTATCCACCATGAAATCTGTCACTTAGGGTAACTTGGAATCAGCATATTAGGACTCTCAAGAAGAACAGTTCTGATTGTCTTAAAGAATAATGAAGACAGTGAAGAAAAAGGTATGTGTCTTCAGAAAGGGGGGCTTTTCAAAAATGTTAAAAGCATCACATTACACAGGTAACACCTTATTCTCTCAGTTAAAACAAAAGAGCAAGTCAAACACTTGTGCTTTTGAAAAAGAAAACCTAATTACATCCTCTTTGGCTCTCCACTGCTACATAGAGAATTTGCCATTAACACATGAACCTTCAATTTACAGATTTAGTAAGTCCTTAAATAAGGTAAGATATGCAAACTGGGCATTGGTGACTCACGCCATCAATCCTAGCTACTCAGGAGGCTGAGATCTGAGGATCGCAGTTCAAAGCCAGACTGGGCAGGAAAGTCTGTGAGATTCTTATCTCCAATAAACCACCAAAAGGCTGAAGTAGAGCTCTGGTTCAAATGATAGAGCACTAGCCTTAATCACAAAAGCTCAGGGACAGTGCCTAAGCCTCAAGCCCCAGGATCAGCACGCATACACATGCATGCATACGTGCACGCATGCACGCACCCACATGCACGCACACACACGCGCACACACACACATACACAGATAAAAATGAACAAAGTCAACAAAACATTTGAAGACCTTCAAAAAAACAGCATCATTTTCCTAATATAAACTCACAATTGATAATAGTCTAAATGATGCTTACAAATCAATACATGTCAACTTTAAAGTTCAGAAGACAATTTAAAAAAGAAAATACAAAAAAATTTTAATCCAGCAATCTCACATCAAAAAAATCTGTATTTAGGAAATGATATCGTTTACTCACTTTTCTGACAATGCATTTGGTTAAGTATAAAAGACAATAAGCCTACTGTCCAACAATAGACCTCCTGATGAAATAATCAATCATGATACAAGGTTAAAACTGGACTAGGCACCCATGGACAAGTCCGTTATGGGGAACTTCTATGTGCAAAGACACTCATCGCATGAGTGGAAAGGTTCGCCATACTATGTCCACATATTTAAAAGAAGAAAACAGGCATATACAATCATCTGGCATGGAAAATGAAACATTGAGGTTATTCCTGCAGGGGAGATGAACTATAACTCATTTTTTATGCTTTTCTGCATCTTGCAAATCTCTATAATTTATAGCTTTCAGAAAAAAAACCATAAAATTAATTTTACTTCCAGAAATTCCTGAAGCCAGGTGTTGGTAGATCAGTCCTATAATCCTAGTTACTCAGATGGCTGAGATCAGAGGGTCACAGATTGAAGCCAGCACAGGCAGAAAAGTTTGTAGAGATTCTCATCTCCATCTAACCATCAAAAAGCTGTACTGGAAGCATGGCTCAAGTGGTAAAGTACTAGAAAGGAGCAAAAAAACTGAGCAGAAGCTCAAGGTTCTGAGTTTAAGCCCTAGTATAAGCACAAGCGCGTGTGCACATACACACACACACAAACACACACACACAAAGCCAAAAAGATATTTTCTATACGAAAGTGCTATCACAATATTATTGGATTAAAAAAATCTGGCAATAGAGGAACTTTTAAATACAGGTGATACCATGTGACAAATTTGGTGAGGCAGAAAAACATGCTACTGAAGAATCTTAAAGCCAGAAAAAGCTAGAATATAAATAAAGATATTTAAAAGATGACACACAATATGCTAGATGCAGTGTTTCATGCCTATAATCCCAGCTACTTGGGAGGCAGAGATTGTGAAGTTCAGGGTTTTAGGCCAGCCCAGACAAAATGTTATATTGTATATCACACAACTAAGCTGGCAGGGTAGCACATGCCTACAATCCTGGAGACTACTCAGATAGGAGGATCAGAGTCTAAAGCTGGCCCCCAGCAAAAGTACAAAATCCTATACAAAAGAACACAAGCAAGCAAACAAACAAAACTAAAGCAAAAAGGCCTCGGGCTATGACTCAAGTAGCAGAACACGCTGGGTAGGCCTGAGGCCCGATTTCGAACAAGAACCTTTAGGGATGGAGAAGGGCCCTAGAGAAAGAGAGAAGGGAAGGAAGACGTGGGATGAAGAGATGGGTGGACAAGTCAATGTGTCATCTATGTATGCAAGTACCTCAGTCAACCCGTCCATTTGTACATTCAGTATGCGCTTACAATGTAAATTAAGCAAAAGGATAAAGAAAGGAAAGCCACTTTACAAATGCAGCTGGAGTTCGTGTTAGCCAGATTACTTGCTCCAGTTCACAAACTGTATTTGTGTTCTACTGCTGAAGGACAAGCTGGAGGAAGTGTCCGGTGCCTTACTTGGTAGCGCCATCGTCGTATGTGCCCATTAAGACTATTGTCCCATCCTGGATGGCCTTCAGAAACTCAATAAAGGGAGCCACATCTGGCAGGGGAAAAAAAGAAAACAAACTGAATAGCCATCACAAGAGTCCGTAACATACAAAGCACTCAGAAGACTTGACGCCTAAAGGAAAGTAATCCCACAGGACTGCTGTAATCCAATGGTCAGACCTATTATGTCTTTAGCCCGGACATCCCTAAGGTTGGTAGATATTGGTAGCAAAGTCTGACTAGAGGGCAACTAAAGAAAGAACCTGAGAGTTCTCTATAATCTAGAGATCAGGAAAGCCTGATTCTGATATCCAGGGTAAGTATCAGGGAATAGAAGATGGGCTCGTGGAATCTGTGAATACATCAAACTACCTGTATAAAAACTGTTGTGTGGTTTGAGTTCAGGGCTTCATGGTTGCTAGGCAGAGACTCCACAACTGAGCCACACCTCTAACCCTTTGTCTACACTGATTATTTCTGTGACAGAATCTCACTTCCTGCTCAAGCATGCACCTGAAATCTTACCCTTCCTAGCACAGGTGAGATGACAGGAATGGGCCATCATGACTAGCTCCTGGGTTGAGAGGGCTCTTTTGTGTATGCCTGGGCTGGCCTCAAACCACAATCCTCTCAATCTCAGCCTCCCAACTAGCTAGGATGGTAGGCACGAACCACTGATGCCCAGCTGCATAAGAACTCTGCTCAAAAGAAGGGACAGGGCTTTTATCCTATTTCTCAAAGAGATGTGTAATTTTAAAAATGAAAGTTTATAAATGCATACACACAAATTTAGAGACTTTTCCAACTCTATCTATTTGCAATGAATAGTGAGAGGGGAGGGGAAAGAGGAATGGAGCAAGTCACTAAATGTCAATCTGACAGTGACAAATATTATCATCATCTTATGCAACAGAACCACAGAGACTTCGAAATAAACCTCTTCAGTGACTAGAAACTGCTAAAAATGCCAGGCCAGACATCAGAAATCATTTTCCATCTTGAATGTTGCAGCGTCAAGTTTCTTGATAGCCCTCCAGTCTAGCTCTACTTCAAAACTAAGTTACTTCAAATTTACTCCAGTTTTTCTTTCCCCATAGCAAAGATTCCAAAGGCTTTCTCTCATTTCTCAGAAAACATGTCCCAAAGCAAGCAGCTAACATTTAAATGCAAAGAAGATCGCAATGTAATGCAGCTGCAATGCCGTCTTCACTTGGCAAGGGTTTTCACGGGGGGTGGGGGGTGTCCATCTGTCTTTAATGGGAGAGAAGAAGGGGCTACCAGAGCTTCCAGTTACATGGCTGATTAACCGCTTTGGGAATGAGTTTCTGTTTTATAAACTTTGTAAGAACAATCATGCCACTGCAATCTAAAACTCAGGGTAATATTTTGGGTTAATGCAAACTTTTGACAGCCCTAAGTGTTCTGGATGAGTATTCTTCCTTACTTAAGAAATACACGTAGCATCTTATTATAAGCTGCATAGTAGACGAGCAGAATTGGGTGAGAACTGGTAACATAAATTTCAGGAAGCCTAATAGTTGGTGACTTAACAATAGCTGTTGATAGGAAGGAAGAAAATAGTCCAGGAGGGAAAAGGTGCTGGCCAGTGCACGCTGTCCATCACGTGTGAAGACAAGGGTGGCCTTCTCCCTTGGGGGCCAACTCCTTTGCTGGCAAGGCCACCTCCTGCTTTCCACTCCTTCAAAGATTCCAAATACAGAGAGACAAAACACTAAGTCCAGTGAATTACAAACAGCATTCTATTCCTTCTCTCATCTCATTAACAGTTAGCCACAGTACTGAGGTTAGCAAGGAGTCGGCAGGATTATTACACTTTATTTGGAGTGCCCGAGGCTCCTCTATCAGGTTATTTTTGAGACGGAAAGAAATCAAATGTGGACAAATGAATCCAGTTAAAAATGCTGACATTGTTTATGATGGTCTTCAAATTTATTCCTTCTACATTACAGACAGCCCTAAAGCACCTTCAGGTTTTGAATTTGTTGTCCTGTCGAAAACAAGACTCAGATTGCTTTTTCATTGTTTTCCTGAAATATTTGTACAAAAGTTTCAACTGCACATGTCACTGTATGCATGTAATGCATCTTGATTAGTCATGACTTATCATTCATCATTCTCCCTCCATCTATCCCATATTCTCCAGACTCAGACTTGCTGAAGCGCATTTTTTAAGAGTGGTCTTATACTCAGTTGCATACTGCAAAACAAACTACAAGCAATATGACTGATCGCTTGACTACAACTGTACACTAAGTCAAGAAAGCAGGAGACTCAAAGTGAACACCCGCACGCCACTGCACGCTACCATGACCTCTGTCACACCTGACGTGATCACCACACCGCCCCAAGCACAACAGAGCCATCAGGAACGCACGTACCTCCTCCCCACATGTCAAAATATTTTGTGTCCAGTACTTCCCCCGTTTTACCTGAAAGATAAAGCATTTGGGTGAGTCATGCAACTGAGATCCACCCCACACTGCAGAAGACCAATGATCTGATTTACCTAAGGATCACCATGAATTCAGTAGCAGGGTGGGAACTACTTTAGGAACTTAAAATCCAAATTGCACACATCACAAATATATTTTTGAAGGGTAACTTTTGGAAAGGACTTATTCATTCATCTTTGATGCCAATGAGAGGCACAAAAAAATTCTCTATAGACTGCAGACCATTTCTATTCAACGCTAGAACATACTTTAGTCATCGTTTTATACCAATTTAAGAAAGGAAAAAAGAAAAAGAAAAAAATCCTCTTTACAAAAACAAAAGAAATATCTATCAGAATCATATTTTGTTCTATAATAAAGGTATTTAAAAATTATGCTTATTTCCCCTTTAATATCAATTAAGTAGATGACTAGATATTGAACATTTTGGAGTAGAAAATGCAGAAGCTACGAGCTGAAAATTGACTGCTTGGGAAAAGAAGTACAAACTTCTTTTTCTCTGCTGTGCTGTAGGTAAGGGGCTGGCTGGTGGTTTCTAGTCAGTCCATCCACCTTCACATGGCACTTATCTATGAACCAAAACAAAGTGAACTCTCACTCGTGGCTTGGATTTTCCAATTTAATTTCACAACACTCAGCAAACTCAGGATTCAATGAACTTTGTATGAATGAGCCTATAGGAATATGGACTGGGAAGTGGCCTTGTGGCTCAAGTAGTAGAGCGCCAGCCTTGAGCTGAAGAGCTGAGGGACAGCGCCCAGGCCCAGAGTTCAAGCCCCACAACCGATTTTTTAAAAAAATGAGACCATATGGACCATAGCAAAATTTTATAATAAATTTTATCTTCATTCCTCCTTTTACCTAGTCCCTCACCCTTTACCACGTGACACACCCCATTCCTGCCTACCTTGTCTTCATGCTGCGCTAGAATTCCTAACAGTGAAGCAACATTTCATAATTTCCCAATTTGGCCGCTTGCTGACAACCTCTGGGAAGCTCTCCAGACAAGGCACCAGGCAAGGATGCATGCTGGGAATATTTAGATACCAAGTCTCCATCTATGTTGCTCTGGAAGAAGGTGAGGGAAAGCCTTCACCATCCCTAATGGTGCTTCCTAATTCTACCTCTTCACAGCATTTTCCTTTAGCACACATGTATTAAGAAAAAAATCCACTGATGATTTTCATGAATTACAAAAATCACTCTTACCATTTGCCAAGGCAACATTGATGCCTCTTCCAACATTATTCTTAACACCACTCATCAAACTGAAAGGAGAAAAAGAAATCAAGAGACATTTATTAGTATTAGATATTGCATAGGAACATATCACAGGAAGTCATGTAAAACGAAGGATTAGATACACGTATCAATTGATTATATATACATATCAGCTGCACTGTAGATAAAAATAAAAGGCCTTGCTGGGCACTGGTGGCTCATGACTGTAATCCTAGCTATTTGGGAGACTGAGATCCTAACGTTGTGGTTCAAAGCCAACCTGGGCAGGAAACACCATGAGACTCTTATCTCCAATACACATACAAACAAAAAGATAGGCCAGAAGTAAAGTTGTGCTGAATTAAAGCCTCAGGACCAGTACCAAAAAGAAAAAGGAAAAAAGCCTCTAAGTAAGAAGACAGTCTAGTAGTGTTGCAATGTCTTTAAATAACACTTCACAAATAACAACCTATATCTTAATACTATATATATGGTTCAAGTGGTAGAGTGCTTGCCTAGAAATCACAAGGCTGAGTTCAAACCTCAGAACTACTGAAAACAGGTACTGGGGGTCAAAATACCACATTAGTGCTTGCAGCTCTGCTCTCAACTAGGAGATACCATTTTAGAAACTTCATTCTGCATGAAGACAGTGTGCCTGTGCTCTCCATCATTCTCAAGGGTCAAACGACAGATGAGCTCTTTTCTATTTTCTGCAGCATAGAGACCTGGCCAATACTCCTTAAGTGCTTTATAAGCTGAGAGCAAGAGAAGGGCAGCATCATATTTCATGAATGTCTGCTTGTGATGGCTCCCTCAGTCATATCAATGTAAACCTGCTCTACCCTAGAAGGAGTACCACTTCGCCACACTCACTCATTACGGCATCTGACCACAGCCATGCTCCTGAGATAAGCAACATCCATTAGAGCTCACAGACTGCAATGAGATGCTACTCAGACCTGCTAGGATGACTAGAATCAGTGAGTTAGATGGTAACCAATACTGACAAGGATATGGACAAACTGAAGCCCTCCATTCACTGATGGGAGAAATGTAGACTGGTGCAACCATTTGGAAATAAGTTCTAACATTGTGAACAGTGACAGTCTGAACCAAAATGTATCCTGTACGTACATATGAAAAATAAAGTTGTTTCTATCTCAAAACTTGTAAACAAATGCTTACAGAAACATTACTCCTTTTAGCCAAAAAGTGTAAATAGTCCCAATATCTATCAATCAATAAGATGAGTGATAAAATGATGAATATCTATACAATGGGATATTACATAAGTATAAAGGGAAGTAAGTCCTGGTACACACTCCAGCGTGGATGAACCTTGAAAGAGACTAAAATGAAGCATTCAAAATAAGCCAACCTACGGATAAAGATACCAAAGTTGGTATCTTAGGTGCCAAGCAGGACGAAATAGCAGGAGGACAGCAACAACTGAAGGGCTCAGAGTATAAAAATGTTCTAACACTGCACCTTCCTACAACTGCACACTTCATCTGAGTGAATTCAATAGGAAAGCCATGTAAACAAAAGATCTGTGTCTTGATTATACACAGAGGAAGGGTGGATTTTGGAACATATTAGTTCAACTGCACCAAAGAGGAACATCTCAAAATGCTTCTTTCTGCTCTCCACCTTTCAGAAATATGCTAGAAAAGTAAACTCCATTAAAATTAAGAAGCAAAAGTTCTAGGTAACTAAGAAACGCAATGACACACGATTCCCACAAGAGGGCAGCAGCTGATCAATTTTTAAACACTGAAACTCAAACGAAATCCATAACTAAATGAAAAACCACTGAAGACATAAAATGTCTAAGGGTTAGACATCCTGCTAACAGTGATTAACACATTTTCCTTAATCTATACACAGGTGGAATGTGAAGGCCCTGCCCCATCCATACCTCTGACCAAAACCATGAAGAAAATGGTAAGTATGTTCCAAATACAGACTATGTTTTAGCTACTGCTTCTTGAAATGATTAAAGCAAGATCTGGTAGATGAATTTCCAAGCCAAATAAATTCATTTGTTGGTTTTGATTTGACTTACTCCTCCTTCATGTATAATGTGTCTAAGGTTACATTCATACCTCAACTACATGCTTCATTTTACTTCTGAACCTCATGAACATAACAGCAATCTTATTTTTATTCTTATTTTTTTTGCTGTGGTTGTTCATGGGGCTTGAAGTCAGTGCCTCAGAGTTGTCCCTGAGCTCTTTCACTCAAGGCTAGAACTCTATCACTTCAAGTCACAACTCCACTTCGTTTTCTGGTGGTTAATTGGAGATAAGAGTCTCACAGACTTTCCTGTGTGGGCTGAATTAGAAGGGAATCCTCAGATCTCAGCCTCCTGAGTATTTAGGATTACAAGATTTACAGGTGTAAGCCACTAGTGCCCACTTCTGGGATTTTGTTGTTGTTGTTGTTTTTATTTATTCCTCAAAATAATCTAAAAATTCTTGTACCAAACTTTAAGAATATACTATAAATGAAATCACTAATATTAACTTCAGACAAACTGAAAGCCAAGACTTGTATCTTAAACAAAAGCAGTACCTTGGACCTATAAGAGTTCACAGGGTCTCTAATCAAGGGAGGAAAGCTGTAATTGCTGCTATGTGTGGGAACTGGATTTACACCTCGCGTCTTCATTTCTCACTAATAGGATGTTGGAAATGCATCTTAAATGTGATGACACATGGAGAACTAACTCCTAGGCTTCACAACAATCTTTGTATCTGTTTCTCAAACCTGGCTTAGAGTGACAGCATTGCTGTAGACAGCTCCCCCGCAGCTGTGACAAACGACAATTACCCATAGGGAGCAAAATCACCCCATGGAGACACTGGTCTAGAATATTCCTCTCCAGAGGGAGCTGCATGTACTCAGAGCAGGTGCAAGAAACAGTTAAATTTCTACTCATGCATTTGTACTATTGACCTACGTATTTTACAAAGTATAAAAACAGAATTGTGCTGGTGGCTCACGCCTGTAATCCTCGGCACTCAGGAGGCTGAGATCTGAGGATCCAGGTTTGAAGTTAGCTGGGACAGAAAAATCTGAAAGACTCATATTTCCAATTAATCAGTGGAGCTGTGGCTCAAGTGTAGAGCACCAGTCATAAATGGTAACACAAAAGCTAAGACCTGGGTTCAGTACCACCATGAAAATAAAAACACAAATCTGTCTGTTGTGGATAGAGAAGTATTACTAAAGAGCTGGATGGCAGAGGCTATGACCCTCCTATTATTATTTCTAGTCCACTGGATTTTACGCAGCAGTCAGATGATAATTTTCTACATAGCTGAAATGAACCTTTCCACAGTCTCAGGAAAAGTCAACCCCTTACCTGCACTACCCAAAAGTTCCTACATGGCCCCGTGGCGTTACCCACTTCTCCCCAGAGCTCCCAGACTGCAGGACCTTTTAGAACACTCCTGTGTAGGGGTCTCTGCCCATTCCCTACCAGCTGCTTTCCTTCTAATCTCTCAGTTCTCAGACTACATGATAGACTCTGACCCTTGAATCTGAGTTCAGACATTGCGTCTCCATTTCCCTCACTTCTACACACCTTGCTGTGCCTGCACAGCTGGGCCAAGAGTTACAGCCACTCATTGGCATTTGCTTTCTAACTACCTGTTACCCCTCCTAGATCCTAAGTTTTCCACAGAGGAACTCTGTTCAATAAATACTTATTGAATAGGACAATGAAAGATGCTTGGGAAATTCAGACTCAACCTTTTCTTTCTTTGATTTAGTAAACAATGACAACAATACAACTATTTGTACTATGTGTTAGGCTTTCAATATAGAAATAGAATATTCTGGAAAAAGCACTGGATTAGAAATTGGTCCCTGCAGTATCTCTACTGGATATCCCTGGCCAATTATGCAGCACTCCTATGGGGACTAGCTTCAGGACCTGAGGCCTATCTAAGAAAATCACATCAATTATTTAATCTTAAATGACAATGGCAGAGTGATGTTTGAAAGGCAGCTAGATCAGTGGCCAGCCTCAATTTTATGGTTAAAGAAATTGAAATACGTTTTAAATTCTACACGGCATGCCCACCATGCCAGACTTCCAGCCCAGTATTATTTTACCACGTCCTGCTGTCTGCCTGCTTTCTCTTTCTCTTTCTGACCCATGCAATGTGTAAGAACCATACCTGCCACTGAAAAAGCTTGATTGCTTTTTTGCATTAAATGCACATGTTTTAAGGGGACAGAGTAGGTCTAAGGACATCTGTGGCACCGTGTTACCCAGAACTATAGTCCTGGTCCTTATTATTTACAATCAAACTTGGGGTCTCTGAAGTCAATCACGGTGAAAATAGAGGAGAATGTTTCTAAAAACTACCAAGTTCTAAAGCCTAAGTGCTTTGTTACACACCAGTAAAACAGGACTAGTACAAGAAGGAATCAGAAGACAATGGATTAATATGGAAGGAATTAGCATGAGGGAAGACAAAGGATCAAGAGATCTACAAGAAAAGTGTTATCCTGCAAGGCTGACTAACCTTCCATAGCTAACACAATGCAAGAGGGGCTGGATAGCAATCTAAAAGCTTCTACATCAAAGAGACACACAGCACTGGGAAACCCATCTAGCTTCTCTGTTCTGTCCTGTTGCCTCATTCTCTGTTTTACATAATTAAATGCCAATGTATTATTTTACACAAAGGTAGGTGAATTCATGGATCTACTTTTCCAGGCAGAGAGTAAACTGGACAATGTGAAGTGGTGTTTGCAATTTTAGGGGCAATACCTTAATTACAAGTGAAGGTGGGTATGGAGGTAGGTCATTGAAAAACCTGCAAACCTGCAGAGTACCTCAACTGAGAAACCACCCAGCTCGATTCCAAGGCAAGCACTTTATAAGCCATCATCAGAGGACCATTTCACCCTGAGCAAATGATATTCAAATATGGAAAATGGAAAAGCTACCAGCAACACAGTCCTGAAATGAATGCATTCTCTCTTTGGGCTCTCCAATTCGCAAGCCATGAGCCACAGGTGGCCATTAGATACTTGAACAGTGCCGGCAGTTACTGAAGAATTGAGCTTTTGCATATGTATGTATGTATGTATGTATGTATGTAATTTACTTATTTATAATCGGTTGTGGGGCTTGAACTCAGGGATTGGGCACTGTCTTTGAGCTTTTGTGCTCAAAGACTAGTACTCTACCACTCTGAGCCACAGCTCCACTTCTGGTTTTCTGGGGGTTAAATGGAGGTAAGAGTCTCAAAGGCTTTTCTGTCTGGCTTTGAACCATGATCCTCAGATATCAACCTCCTGAGTAGTTAGGATTATAGGCATGAGCCACCAGCACCCAGTGAACTGAGCTTCTAATTTTAATCAAGTTAAATGAATTAACTTTCTCCTTCGTATTTCAGAATCAAAAGAGCTACTTGAGTCTTGGCAACTTCCAAATGGGGCAGTACTTACCTACATAATTCACCAGAAGCAAATATCTTATCTCCATGGAAAGCTAGATTGATTGTGTGCTTAGCCACTCGCTGAAAAACTTAATAACTTAAAGTCTTCTTAAATAAATCGGGAAAAAGCATAGAATGATAACAGAAATCACTGCTCTTAGGTCCCACTAGCTGTAACTTAATAATCTACCTCAGCGTTCCAAACCAGCCAATACTTACACATTGTCTTCCAGGCAGATCTTGGGGCCCACCACATTGGCTGCACCACTTGCCATTTTAAAGGCAAAATGCTTCTCAGGGCAAGCTTTGGAGATCCCGCATTTATATCTGGGAGGCTTTGTAGCTTTGAGGAGAACAGATGAGATTTGTTTCTTTAGAATACAAGTTAACAGACTATAATCAATTTGCTTTGCATTTATTTCAAAGCACAAAAGGAACATTAGAGCAAACACACAGTTTTAGACACATGCCAGAGAATTTTTCCTGAAGGTTTCAAAGAGCCTCAAAACAACAAGGACACAAAAACAAAAGCCAGAACCTCTTGGGGAATGAACTAACAACTGACATAAATAGATCAAGTTATCTAAGCTCGATGATCACATGTGTATCTAATCTAATTATTCTGGAGTGTATCTTTAGATTTTTGGATGCCCATCTACAGCTAAGCACCAACTGGTTAGGTCAGAGATCACTAAAAAATCCTAAGACCCCCACTGACCCACTGACTCTCTGCCCACAGACAGTTCTAATTAAGAAATCTTTTAATCTCCATTACTGGCAACACTTAAAATACTGGAACTAGACAGTACCCAAAGAACAAAGTACCATTTCTGAGGCAGTGTCAAGAATCCTGGGCTGTCAAATCATAGCCTCCACATAAATCTAAAATGTAATTTCCAAATCAAGTTTCAGTCATATTCAACTGTCAGCACTGCTTAAAATATAGGCTTGCTGGGCGCCAGTGGCTCACGCCTGTAATCCTAGTTACTCAGGAGGCTGAGATCTGAGGATCTCCGTTCAAAGCCAGCCCGGGCAGGAAAGTCTGTGAAACTCTTATCTCCAATCAACACTTAGAAAACCAGAAGTGGCGCTGTAGCTCAGGTGGTAGAGTGCTCACCTTGAGCTGAAGAGTTGAGGGACAGTGCTCAGGCCCAGAGTTTAAGCCCCACAACCGACAAAAAAAAAAAAAAAGGCTCTCATAGGCCTACAGTAGGACAGAATAAACCATTAATAGAATATTGAGATGGAATACTTACAGCGAGCAGCTGTGTCCAGTGCTGATCTTGCTAAGAAAAGAAAATGTACCTGTGTTAGAATGAGCATATTGGCAAATATCTACTTCTTAAATAGCTTTAGAGATTCAAACAGGCTGATAAAAATAGGTTTGAATGACTGCTTAGTGTACAATTTTAAAATATAAATATCACTTCAGAGAAAGAGTAACTTAAGAGTAACTTTACAGTCTATAGTTTATTATAAACAATTATGTATAGGAATCACGGGAGCAGTGTTGTTTTTTATTTTTAACTGATACTTTACCTTTTGCTTTGTTTAGTTTCTACAACTTTAAATCCCAATCATAAAGTTATTCTATAAATAGGTACTTGATGAGTATTTCTTAAGTTGTTACTGATAATGGTGGTTTCATACACATAAGCATGCAGTTCCACAGAAACTTTTCTTGGTGGTTAGGTAACCAGTTTGGGGATAGAAAAGAAACTGATGAATGGTGTACAGCTTTCATTTCTCCAAAACAGACATGTACTAGGTATACTAAAAATAGTTAATGTCTTAATATTAAATGAGTGTTATAATTCTCTAGGTCACAGAGATCAGAAAGTCAAGTCTTACTAATAGCAGGAGATCATAACCTGGTCATGAATTGCAATCACACTTAAGAGCTTTCTAAAACAATATCTGATCCCAACCCAGGAAATAATACTTACATCATCAACGTTTTGTGGACAGTTGTTTCCTGATTTGGCTAGTAAGTATGCAGTGTGATAAATGTTAGCTAGCTGTCTGACTATAAATAGTCATTTTGTTTTTTAACTTTTGTACTATTTTTGATAACTGAATTTCCTGTAAGTTCAGTATTCAAACTGGTTAGTAAAAAGTGAAAGCTGAAAGTATCTAAGTGTTTTAAAAGAAGAAAATGGCCAAATGAAGCCTCATGTACTCTATAGAACACGCAGCTGAATATTATACATTATGAATATTATACATTAAAGTCACAGAGGTAACGTAATAAGTAAGGCATAAAAAGGTTAATGTATGAGATAAAGCAGAAAACAAACTTCATCTATACTCTAGCATTAGTACTAAAATGAAAGGAGATTTGAAGGCAAAAAAAGGAAAAAAGGACGAGTTTGTAATTCAGGTGGTTAAAATTACTGGACTTCATTATCTGAATTCTATCATTTTTCTTTGATTACACGATAAAAGGGGGAAAATTAATTCCAGAGATGTGTCCCAAGACTCTTCTTTCTCTAAATGACAAAATTAAAGCTTAGAGCAATCAGTCTGCAGCCCAAAGATTAGAAATGTGCAACTTCACTATGTCCTGAACAACTGTATCATCAGACATCCAAGAAGACAGAGATGTGAACAGGCTCACAGGATACCTCATTCACACTGGCTGCACACTCTGCCAAATATCTTTGTACACCTTCACTTCAGTACCATGACTGTTTCAGAGGCAAGGAAACTGAAGACACCGAGGTTTACTGGTTTGACTTGTTCCAGGTCATAATTATGAATTGGTAAGCATTAGCATTGAAGGTCATCTCGAATGTAACCTCCAAACTCACATTTTCCCATCTTTTAAAACGGCAATGTCTGAGCTCTGCTCTGACTCTGCTCTGAGCTCTGAAACACTGCTGATCTTGGCAGGAGTCAGAGGCTCTTCTCACCAGAGGAAGTGAAGACTAGAGATGACAAGTCAACACAAATCCTGAAGTCATCCATATAAAATGGGCAGTTTGTTGGGGGAAAATGCAAAAGGTGGTAACTGGGTTGGAAAAAAAATGGACTGATTCAAAGCAACTAAAAACATAGCATGTGTAAAACTTAGGAATGGACCAGACAGAGGGATGATGGAGTCAAGGATGCTGACTGATCAGGGAGCTGACTACAGCGCATTCATGTACTCATTCTCAAGAGCCACTGAACAAAAATACTTTCTCTGCACCAAGATCTTTGTAATTGAGATGGGGTAGGAATAAGTGATAAGTTCTGTTGTGGGACTTCAGCGAAGTTCAAGAGGAGCAGTATAGAGAGGCCAGCTATCCACAGACCCTGTGATTACACACAGGAAAATACCGTTTACTGAACTTAAGTTAGATGCTAAACAAATGTCAAGGATAACTAAAGTAGTCTGAAATGAACATTAAAAATTAAGATTAATTTTTCACCAAGAGATAGGAGTCCAATGAAGTTTTTTTTTTTTTGGGGGGGGGGTGGTTCCAGTCGTGTGGCCTGAACTCTGGGCCTGGGCGCTGTCCCCTCAGCTCTTCAGCTCAAGGCTAGCACTCTACCACTTGAGCCACAGCGCCACTTCTGGCTTTTTTTTCTTTCTTGTTTTTTGCATATGTGGTGCTGAGGAATTGAACGCAGGGCCTCAGGCATGCAAGGCAAGCGCTCTACAACTGAGCCACCTTCCCAGCCCCCAATAAAGTTTTATAGATGCAGCATTTTAGTTCCAACATCAAAATAAACATCTTTCCTATGACTGCAGAAACCATGGTAGCTACAACGCATATACTAAAACCTTGCAGGTAAATGACGGGAAATGTCAAAATGAAAGGAGACAACTACTCTAAAGTACACGATATTGGTGAATAGCTGACTTCAGTTATTTCCAACTAATACAACGCTCTATGAATCCCACTTTGAAATGCTGTTCCTTCCCACATGAGAATCCAACCCATCAATTATCCACATTTGCTTTCACTCAAGCAGAACACAGTATCCAGAGCCCAGCACTAGATAAAGTTGGGTAAAGAAATACGACACCACTGCCTTCAAAGATTCATTCTCTGATGCTAGGGAGGCAGAGAAGCAGACACATGAAAAGAAAAAGTTATCTGTATGGCAGAATAAAATCACTGATCTAGGTGCTATGTAATTAGAGCAAACAGTTCAAAAATAGGAGCAACACAATGAGATGATACCAAGGCAGCACCATAGAAAGCAGATGGCCTGGGGAGATACCACAGGGTGGGTGCCACATCCACATGAGCCCAGGTGAAGGTGTGAAGGAACGGGGGGGGGGGGGGCTTTGTGGTGTGCACGGCGAGGGTAAGATGTGGTAGTGTGCTGGGGAGATCTATCAGAAGGGCAGGAGAATCGGTGTCATCCTAAGCAGACACTGTATTTGATTCTCCAGGATTGACAAATACTAAAGGTTCATGAGTTTACAGAAAATGGCTCTTACAGTGGTGAAACACGAAGGTAGTAAAAATGAAAAATTGTTGTAGGGTCATTATGTGGTGTTTATAAAAACACTCTGGACTAGGATGAAGTTCTAAACCAAAGAGACAGAGACAAAGGGAGGGGACAGAATACAGACATGAACAGATTACTTCAGGAGTCTCTACCAGCTACTTGTGTATATATAGAGTGCCACACTGACTTTACCCTGTCTCCTCTTCACCCCTTTCTGAAAGAAGTAGGCTTTCCCCAAATACTGTAACTTTCCTATTTGTATCGTGGCCACACTCATTTCTCTCAGGAACCCAATTTTTTTTCTTTCCTTTTCAATCTTTTTTTGTTGATCTGCTACTCAAAAATTTTCCCACAAGCCTGACAGCCAAGTAAGTGTTTTACTTTAAAAGAAGAAAAGCATGTGACTTGCTGGAGTCATGATCTATAATCTTAGATGAACTACTTATACCCTTGCTTCTGGGGCAATACAGAGTAAGCCCTGGAAGTCTTCGGTGTGGTTTCTGGCCCACTGTTCAGTGAGAAACTAGCTGTATTCTCTGAGGCCACCAGGCTGCCGAGTGCAGACCAGAACAAGTCAAATCACATCTCACCGTACTTGGCAAAACTACTTTAACCGGAATCCTGCATATTTCATTTTATGAGGAGTGCTGAAAACAGACAGGTTCTGGAGCAAAGTGATCAGTGATTACTTTGAAAGAATGGAGACTTGCAAGGAGACCAGAAGAACCAGGAGTACTATTTAATTATCTGAGAGAGCACCGATGTAGAAGCTCCTACGCAGAAACAAGATCAGTGAGATGAAATTGCTTAGAGCACAAAAGGCAGATTCAGTGCAATACAAAGGAGCACTTGTAAATAGTTACTGTTAGAAAAACCTGCCTCAAAATGCTTCTACCAACCTTGAGTACTGCATATTGGAATGGTCTATAGCCTCAATGCTCAGCATAGGACGGTCCAGCTTACCTGGTTACCTGGGAGCTCCTGAGAAATGCAGGCTCTCAGGCCACATCCCAGACATAAGGGAGAACTTGCACCTGCCAAGAATCTCTGTATACTATGAAGGTTTGGGAAACACTGTATAATGGTCTTGAGAGTATATGCAGGAAATAAATTAACCTTGGGGATCCCTTCTAGACATTCATAAATTTATGGAATTCAAAAAACTCAATGCAGAGACCTCAAAGTTCTTTCATTTGATTCTGCCTGTTAGTTCAAAATGCTGTTCCTGTGTTTCAGTCTCACTTTTTTATGTCTTAACAGCCAAAGCTTATTCCATGTACGGCAAGGATCTAAGAAGACTATTTATAGCTTCTCTAACTTCAAGCAATGAAGGCCTGTAGTAGCTAGAAGAGATTCTAAATTGCATCTCTAGACTTATTATTTCTCATTTGAATATGTCAACATTAAGTTCTACTCCTTATTCTCTAATGCAGTTTCAAAGATAATTGGTTCTATTTACCAATTTAAAGATGCTTGTTAAAAACTGAGTTTAGAGCTAGGGATGTGTAGTTCAAAGGTAATTACTACCTTAGCAGATGCAAGGCACTGGGTTTGATCCTTGACAAAAGAACAAACAAACAAAATCCATTAAAAATTCCCGAATACCTTGTAATGGTACATTTATAATACAGAAATATATTATATAAATGGAATAAAAGGAGAATTCACAGAAAGAAAATAAGATGAGTGGTGATGATCATTATTAAAATTCATCATTATGACTCCCTGAAAACTGAGGGATATGGGTGGCAAACAGAAATGATTTAAAATTATGGGTGCTGTGATTTATCTTTCAGAATGTTGCCCAGCATGTATGAAACAGAATCATTAAATGTTTCAAATGTTAAATAGAAGGTTTCTTGCTTTAACTGCCTTAATTCTAATAACCTATGCATTTTAGTATATTCAAATGAACCACATTTACTGATAATTCTTTTTCTAAATGACTAAACAGCAGAAAATAAATGAAACTGAAAAAAAATTAAAAAGCTACATTAGAAATAAGTTCTAAAAAGGGAAAAACCATAGAACTTACCAAATAGATTTCCTAAACTTGCATCCATTTTTATTTCAAATACTTGAGAAATAACATAAAATGTCAGTAAAAATACTGCCACAGCTACCACCAACTTTGCAGCTCCTGGGTAAAAGGAAGAAATAATTCAGCATGAGTTTATGAGCCTTTGGCAATAAATATCAAAGGTTACATGTCAAAACTCCTATTAATCTACTGGATCTTAATTTTATTTGGCTTACAACAAAAACTGAACCAAGAGGGATTTTTCCTGATCCTCAAGGTAACCACACACAAGTCTGCTAGAGACATCATTCTAGCTTAACACTCAAAATAATCATCTAGTGTCAGTCCATCAGCCACTGGCTGATTACGCCAAGGTATCTCAGCCAATGGAGGAGAAATTCCAGGAAAGTGATGAAAAATACTGGACCTTATGGAGGTATCAAGATCAGGAAATCCATCAACTAAAGTTCTCAAGTGAAAGGTAAGATGCTTATTGTCCTATCACCATCTCTGAAGTACTTAATTCCTCACAAAACAGTAAACAACAACAACAACAACAAACAGTCTTCCCCTACTTATTTTCTTGTTAAAAATAGGCTCCCCAAATTCCGAAGGATATAATTTGGCATCTATACAGGGTAAGCACTACAGGTTATATTCCTTATCTTTAAAAAAAAAAAGGCTTATTTTTATAGATTTTTTTGTTATACTCGTATTATATTTTAGTTGTTGCACAAAGTTAGTTACCATTTAAAAATCAGTTTCTATAATTTGTGGAGGGGAAGGGAAAGAACAAATTGTTTAAATAGGGATACAGATGGACCCATTAAAACAATGAGATGTACAAGACGTTATGTTGAAAAACGAACTTTTCAACTTTGGCTTGGGTGGGGGAGGGGATGGCAGGGATAGGAAGGGATGGGAAGGGGAAACAAAAGGAGGCAACAATGCTTGATAAGAAATGTACTCATTACCTTGCTCATGTAATTGTAACCCCTCTGTATGGTATTTTCACAAAAAAAAAAAAAAAAAAAGATCTCATCCTGATTGAAGTTCATCTTTTCATCATTCTCCCTCATCCCTCCTAACCCAGTCCCTCCTCTCAATTTTTCTTGGTTTCATAGGATATGTATGCAATATTATGATTGTATTTTCTAATGTATTCTTATATAATATTATATTCTTATTCTTTTCTATCTTTAGTCATGTTTGAGTGCCTTGTAAATCATTGTTACTATTACATTGTTACTGTTTAATATGAATTATCTCATCTTTTTCTTCACAGCTAACCAATCTAGGAGAGAAAACAACAAACTACAAAATTGGAAAAGAAATGGGAAACAATAGCCAAGAAATACTGCCCGCTTAACCTTTGAACTTCCAAGATGTGTTATCACCTTATTTGGGAAAAATATAAAATGTGTCTATACTAGCTCTATCTCCTCTCCCAGTAATGCCTTGGGTTAATTTGTGCTGACATAAAAGAGATGGAATCAGCAGTCACCTCACTATCGTTACTCCGAGGTGAGATAGCAGCCAAATAAATTAGTAGCAGCACAGACTCCAGAATCCAGGTTCTCTAATAAAGTCTGGTGGTTTGTACAGTACTTGGCCCTAAAACCAAATTATACATTCTTCAAAAAAAGAATACCAGGCTCACTTTATTAGACAAGGAGAAATTTTTTTTTAAAAAAGTTTGTTTTAATTTCAAAAACCTAAAGAGAAAAGATTGTATCTTTAAATGGAAAGAGGATCTTTACAAGGAGCTGATGATGCTCAGAAAGGCTGAGAATGCTGAGAAGAGAAAACCTACTCATTGCTATTTCAAAACACTCAATGGCTGCATAGTAAGGGGCTGGGTATTAACAGAAAAAGAAAAAAAACAAACATTCCATCAATGTAACAACGACGTGGCAATGAAGAAGTATTACTACTAATCCATTTCTGCCTCTCTCCTACATTTCCTAATTTCTTCACCACGCTTTCTGTTTTAAGAGCAATTCCTATGTCTATGATTTCAGTAAACAAGACAGGAAAATTCCATTAGGCTTTGAGTTCTTCCCCTCAGGTACTAGCTGAGTACCTAACACAAATAATCTGAACAACTGCTTGTTAAACAGGTAGGTGGAATATTCTTTCTTGATCATTTAAGCCCACTCACTTGAAGACTGTACCTTACATGACAGTTTATAGATTACTTTCTAGCAACCACAGGTACGTACAGAGACAATCTTTTCATGTATATCCTATGAAACAGTTATTAATACTAAAGTTATTAAAATATCAAGAAACCTGAGGGTTCTAAATTTTACTCAGAGCTAAACCTAAGCCTTCACTAAAAAAGCTGTGTGCGTATATACATAAACACACACAGAATATGAGTATATATATGTGTATGTTTGTAAGACATACATACTATTTTCTGAATGCTTACTAGAGAGCTGAATGCTTTATAACTACAATCTTATTTGCACCAACATTATACTATTTTCACTTGAAAAATGAGGAATATGAGGCACAAATTTTAAGTCACTTGCTAGTTCATAGAACTAGGCAGGCAAAGGTCATGACAGTCATTTATACAAGACTAACAAGAAAGGAAAAATTAACAAGAAAGAAAAATTGACAAGGAAAAGCTCTAAGGAAAAGAAAAGTTGGCAGAGAATCTATATTCAGTGTGGTCTCCATAGTGTTAATAATTCTGGGACTTCCATTGCAAAAGGTCTTCAGAACTGGTTTGCCTATTCAGTTCCAAAATGAAGATGATTCCCATTCTTAATTTCCCATGAGATTGTCTCTTGGTTCTAGCCAGGGTCTGTATTACTTTGAGTGTATTCCTGTTTTTCATAAAGCCAAAAAGTATCAACTTGAGATATAAGTATGATGGCTCAATGGGTATTCAAGTAACAGGAACTTCTTAAAACATAGAAGAGACTAATTAGTTAAAAGCAATAGCTAATCTTTCTTATTTGTTCACTAAGGGCAATTCTCCCAAGACTTACTTTAGGAATTGGGCCAAACATAAAATTAGCACTCTGTGAACAATTACTCATCAATTAACCTGGGTATTAATTGTCAGAGTCAGAAAAATGGATGAGATGACAAAGGTAATTTCAACTAGAATGAGTTTAGAATTATGTACAAAGAGAATATTGCTTTCATTCAAGCTGCTATGCCTAATTAGGCAACATATTTTCAAATCTTCTGGATACAGAATCATAAACAGTCCTTGCGTTATTAAAATGGAAAAAAATGATATTGCAATAGTTTAAAAAAAACCACAGACACTCTCACTTGGTTTCTGGTAATATTTTCCTTCAACAATTATGTAACTCCTTAAAAAAAAAAAAAGGATGTTTTGTAATTTCATAGCAGACATCCAGTTTTTCAAATTCCTACAAAAACACTTCTAACAACATTCAGTGTGGTTTAATAACTTTGATTCGCTATGCCTCATCCTATATAATCATACCCAAGTATGAAGACATCTTTGCTCATCTGCCTTGACTTTAGGCAATTTCTAAGACATGCTTTTGTAGGAAAATATTTAGTTTACTTTGAGAGGTGATAATTAAAAGACCAAGTACACTGATTTCGAATTACAAGCTATTTCCTATGTTGGGCACACAAGAGAAATCCCTTGGTGAAAATGTGCACTGCTGTGGTTGTCAAAGGAGGAAGAGTGTTTTGGGGAAGCCAAGTTATTTTTGTTTCAGGTGGGAAGAGGCCACCAGGTATTTATGAATTTGTCCTAATGTAGTGCTTGAAGATAACTACATGAGCACCATGATTACCCAGTGATGTTCTTCTCACTTTCCCATGCGGATTTGATTATTTACACTAAATCCTATGATGTACATGCATCACTTTTAGTTTCACATAGGAGAGATTTCAACTTTTAAAATTTAGAAACTAGTTGTCTCGATAGTCTAAAACTTAGTAAAATAAACATTAGCTTCCTTACAGTGTCAAAATCATTTGTTCTATGGCTATTTTGTCATCCTTTAAGTTTAATGTATGAGAAATAAACATTAAAACCATAATTTCAAAGATTTAGTATCATTTCAACAAAAGACAACTACAAACTATAAAAACTTACATAAAACTCATTAAATGTCCAGTTTATGGTTTGATGACTATTTAAAAAGACAAATAAAAAAGGCTAAGGAATGTTTAAATGTAGTGTAGTTTGGCAATTGGCATGAAGGAACACTGAGCTAGAGAATAGATGGGGTTGAGAGAGGTAACGGGAGAATGAGGGAACTGGTGACACTGATCAAAGATGTACTAATAAACTGATACCTTGAATCGAAACCCCATTATACAGCGATTTAAAGGTCATTTAAAACCCATTCAGCTGAGCACGATGGTACAAACCTATCATCGTAGTTATTCAGGAGACTGAGGGAGGAGGATCAAAAGTTGGAGGCCAGCAAAGACAACATAGTTAGACCCCCTCCCCCCCATCTCAAAATACACAATCATTATTTAGTCTCTCTTTTCATCATTACTAAAATTAAAAAAAAATAAAAATAAATCAAGTTACATAAAAGACAAAATTACTTTTCTGGATTAAATATCTTACCTGCTACCCTCATGTTTGGTTTCTTAGTTTATTGCACTTTTCATTAAAGAATCTCCTAAAAATCAAAAGAAAAAGACAAATACTTTTAGTTGCTTTTTGTTGTTGTTGTTTTGTTTTTGGTCAGTCACAGGGCTCGATCTCTGGGCCTGGGTGCTGTCCCTTAGCTCTTCAGCTCAAGGCTTGCCTTACAGCACCACTTCCGGTTTTCTGGTGGTTTATTGGTGATAAGAGCTTCACGGACTTTCCTGCCCGGGCTGGCTTTGAACCATGATCCTCAGATCTCAGCCTCCTGAGTAATTAGGATTATAGGTATGAATATTCCACATCAGATTGGGTTTGGAGTGTATATGTAAAATTAATTAAGCAAATGTCATGACATTTCTAAGTATTTTGCCAATATGACATTTAATTTAAAAAAACAAACAGGGCTGGGAATGTGTCTTAGCAGTAGAGTGCTTGCCTAGCATGTATGAAGCCCTGGGTTTGACTCCTCAGTACCACATAAACAGAAAAAGCAGGAAGTGGCCCTGTGGCTCAAGTGGTATAGTACTAGCCTTGTGCAAAAGAAGCTCAGGGACAGTGTCCAGGTCCTGAGTTCAAGCCCCAAAACTGTCAACCCCCCCAAAAACAAACAAACAAACAACAACAACAAAAACCAAGCATCACAGACCATCTCCTTCCACTAGGCCTCAAAACCTCAAAAGAGAAGTATGGATCTTACTCCACAGTTCCCAAGTGGGAAAAGAAATGAGAAAACTTGCTATCGAGCCAATAGCTAAAAGATACACAGATTTTTCTCGGTGATTATAAGGCATTGTGGACACTTAGTAAATCTGAGAATTATATCGTTGAATATAACTATTTCCCAGTAAATTATATCGTTGAATATGACTATTTCCCACCCAGAGAAACTGAATAGTGAGGTCAGATCCGAAGAGATTACTCTTTATCTAGTCATGGAAGGGATTATCTGTAGAAATGGCCCCCAAAAGTTTAGCTTGGCAGGCTCTTGAAATTATGTGGCACCACTTCATTTTTTTTTTTTTTTTAGTCAGTCATGGGGCTTGAATTCTGGGCTTGAGCGTTGTCCCTGCACTCTTCAGCTCAAGGAGAGTGCGCTACCACTTGAACCACAGCGCCACTTCCGGTTTGCTAGTGGTTTATTGGAGATAAGAGTCTCAAGGAGTTTCCTGCCTGGGCTGGCTATGAATCATGATCCTCAGATCTCAGGCTCCTGAGTAGCAAGGATTACAGGCATGAGCCACCAGCACCTGGCACCACTTAATTTTTTATAACATACTTCAGTGATCACTACAATAAACACCCATAGTCTTATTTTGTACCAATTTTCTCTCATGTTTTTCAATATGCATTTGCAAAATAATATATCCACAAGTACAGAATTGCAATTTTAAATATTTCAGCAAATAACTTATTGATTGAATGATGCCAAAGATCAAAAGAAGAAAATGTTCTTTGATATTATTTTATCCCACACAATGGGGAAAACACCTATATGTATAGGAGCATTTCCCTCTTAAGAAATAACTCAAGATCGGTGACTTTTTATCATATAATGGTAAGTCCATGCGTCTGGTAGTAACTCCACATCCAAGGTTAGCTAGACATCTTCCACATCAACTCAGCCTCCTTCAAAGGAACAGAACTCAAAGGGAGGTGCTGTTTAATGGCTACATTAATCAGAAGAATGTTATCCCTCTACTTCAAATGCTGATATCCAACCTCATTAAGTTTTAAAAAGCTGCAAAGCAAAAACAATGGTTCATACTCAAAGAACAATGAAAAAGAAATAAAATGTTCAGTTTTCTTCTTCACTGAAAAAAGCCCGGGCAAAGAGGAGCAGTGTAGACAGCACTCAAAGGTGCAATGCTCATATTCTGGCTCTTTTTCTTCTACACAATCTTTTTTTTTTTTTTCCCTTCACAATCTACCCTGAAGGAAAAAAAAAATCAACACTTAACTGAATCATTCTTTACTGATTTCTTTCCCTTTCATAGCTATCTGAACATCTTTCACATAATAGCAAAAGTCAATGTCATATATCTATCTAAACTACTTAGCCACAGGCTAGGAAAATACTGAAAGGAAACAAGAGATACTCAAGTCTCCCCAAACCATCACATAAAAACAGAAGTGGAGGGAAAAAAAACTCTTGGCTTTCAAATGAAAACCCCACCAGGTTATATAAATCCTTCTTTGACTCCCAGTAAAATTGAACTCTGCTTTTACCATACACACGTCTCTCCTCCCAGCTGATATTCTACAATAACTTCATGTGTTATCTGAGTGTGGCCTAGGAAAATTTCTTTGAAAATGTGGAAGCAGCTGGCCACCAGCCACCTGCTGATCTACTTCAGTCTCCGTGGAGAATGTACCTGTGCGATTACACACTGCCTCCCCACCCACCTGCCATCTCTTTGTACCGCCCAACAAGTTGATTTCTATATTCATCACTAAGGCCACAGTGCAAGCCAACGGATTCGTGTGGCTACGTCTGACTCCCACTAATATTTCTTAGGCGATTAAGAGAATTAATATTTTATAATTTCCAAAGTGAAATCTTACCAAATGAAAATAGAAGAGACCCAGAGTAATGAATATAAATAGTAACAAGACAGAAGGCTTTTTGCTAAAAATTCAAAATCTTCATCTGGTATCAGTAGCACATGACTGTTATCCCAGCTATTCTAAAGGCTGCATTCTGAGGATTGAGATTCAAAGCCAGCCAGGGCAGGAAAGTCCATGAGACACTTATCACCAATTAATCACCAGAAAGCTGGAGGTGTAGCTTTGGTTCAAATCGTAAGGTACCAACCTTGAGCAAAAAAACAAAACAAAAAACTTAGGGACAGAGCCCAGGCCCCGAGTACAAGCCCCAGTACCAGAACAGAGCATGGAGATTAGAGCCAGTTACCTCCAACCCTCCTTAACGATTCTAAATTACACCAGCATCCTTTATCAGCAAATACACCCTAAAACAATTAGATGGGAGAGACCTGTCTCACCAGAACAGACACAATGCACATGCACACATGTGCACATATGTATGTGTATGTAATACACACAGTTATTTTATGTAATCTTCCAGCCAGCCCTCTAGGTATAGTAGGTATTAGGGGTAGCATTATGGCTGAGGTCAGGGGATTTGTCTAAGGTCCCAAGAAGGGGGAGGGAAGGCCCACAAATCCACCTCTTTTTCAGCCTGGCTGCTCACTGACATACTAATATTAAAGGGATGTGCTGACAAAATGCCATGTTTGGCTTTTGCAAATTGTACTGGGAAGTGCTAATCTCTGCTGTAACTAGCCACTCCAAAGGTTTGACAGTCTGTCAGAATAACTAAGCTTGTATATCTGAATCCTCCAACCTCAAGACAAAAATTATACAAGATGCAGCAAATACTCATTGATATAGTTAATTAAAAAAAAAACCTAAACTAGAAGAAAATGGAGTATACAAGTTATATTCCACAAATAGGGAGAAATTATCATTTAACTCCACTCAAATTTAATTCCGTGTTGGCAAATTACAACTTTAAAATAAAACAGACTAAATTCAGATAATATAAAAGTCAATTGATGGGGCTTTTCAAGGCAATACAAAAACACCAAACAGGTCAACATGAAGACCCATACATAGAGTATATTTAGGCCCAATGATGGTAACTTTAATGTAACTGGGCCACAGGTTGTCCACCATATATTTAAACACTTTTCCAGTGTGTCTGGAAGAGCATTTCTGGATAATAAGCATCTGAATTGCCTTCCTCAATCCATGGGACACACACACACACACACACACACACACACGTACACTTGTGGTTCTGGCTGACAACTCCACTGCCAAGGCAGATCACAAAATGTAAAAATGCCCATTCTCACTGCAAGTCGCAGAAACCTTCATCTTTTCTTGTCTTATAGCTTGCCATTAAAAAAATCATTTACAAAAAACTTGCCAGCCTTGATTGACATTAGGCATTAAGACCTTCCTCAGCCCAAGGGCTCCTGACCTATGTACAGGACTGCTACAGGACAAGACTGGCGAGTCTGCCCACTAGCTCCAGTATCATTCAAATCATCCCCCTCCTGTTCAAGCACAACGTCACAGGGCTGTGGATACCTAAATCATGCCTATGCAATGAAGTCTCCATAAAAACACCAGAGGACAAGGGTTGGATGACCAGAGTTCGTGGAGAGGACATGGAAGCTCTCCACAACTCTTCCCACCCCCCCAGCCCTATGCATCTCTTCACCTGTGCCTTTGTGATGCCATTTCTAACACACGTGGAACCTGTGAGCCACTGAAATTAGCTGAGCCAGTGGAGAGGGTTTTAGACTCTACACCCAGCTCAGCCTAAGTAGAGGTAAAACAACCTGGAGCAATTAAGAATGGGGGCCATCAAAATCGATGCTATCTCTAGGTAGGTAGAGTCAGAGGTGAACGGGATTAGAGGACACCCTGCAGGTGCCTGCTGCAGAACTGATTTTTTTGTTTTCTGGTGGAAAGTACTTCCCACACATTTGGAGGTCAGTCTTTTGTACAGATGGTGGTGTGAGGACAGAAGGCAAAACAGTAGTGCAAGGGGGAAGGGGGGGTGGGGAAGGTTCCCATAACAACACCCACAACAACAGAGGGAGGATGCAGGAGGCCAGTCAGCTGGGAGGATGCCTTCAGGCATTCCAGGAACCACATTGACAGCAGCTCCTAAAACTTCTCAGCCTCCAAGACCATGAAGCAACTCCTTGTAATAATTAAACTATACACAGTATGTTAAAAGTCCATAGACATGTACAGTGTATTATAAGGAACATATACCTCTATACATGTATCTGTTATGTGTAGACAAAGATACTGACTGTTTGCATGGAGAATCCAGATTAACACAGACCTCCCCAAGATCAGAAGGGAAACAAACTTCATCCCTGGAGCACTGAAAAGTGCAAGAGGATAAGCTAATAGTGAAAAAAAAGTTCCTAACTAGAAGAGGCACTAGAACCATGGTAAATGGTTAAAACTGTTTAAAAAGGGCTGGGA